TATATCATATTAGTAAAACTGGTTCACTCTAGAAATAAAAATGAAACTGTATCCCTACTTAATACCACATACAAAATAGACTGAATATAAAAGATAAATCTAGAAAGCAATTAGAGGAATACATTGAAAAACTTCTTAAGACTCCCAAAGCTCAAACATTAATCCTATCGGAACCTGATAGAAAAGTCCACAAACCAGACGATCAGGTAACAGGAAAAGGAAGCTCAAAAGGCGAACAAGCATATGGAGAGATGTTTAAACTCAAGTTCATCATTATTTACAGAAATTGATTAGAACAGAGCTACATCAGTTACACATAGGAGACTGTCAAAAATGATACAGCTGGACCATGTCAAGTCATCAGGAATGACGAAGGCCATGAGCAACAGGAGCCCAGCCCCACTGGGGGGAACAGGCAGCCAGAGAGCAATGCTTAGTTATGCGAAGGCAAACTCATTCTCTGGCCCAGCCATCGCTCTCCTGAGGTGTAACCCAGAGGCGTGGCCTCACTGATCCACAAGCAGACACACAGGAGGCGTTTACCACAGCCACACTTGGGTGGTGGAAGGTTGGAGAGGGCCGGATGGACCTCTTTGGGAGAGTGGAATCGGTAAAATGTGATAGGTACTTATCATGCAGTATTTGCAACTGCTGGAAGCAAAAATATTTGTCTAACAACATGGATGGTCTAGAAAAAGTGCTGAGTAATATATATATATATATTTTATATATATATATATAAATATGAGAATAGAGACTGATTTGTGTGATCCAGGCCCATTTAAATGTGTTTAAATTAGACTCAAAACCATTGTACTGGTACACATTTTTCAGAAATGCACCCAAACACATTAGAATGGTTACATGTGGAAGGGGGAGCCATGGGGCGAAGGGAAACAGTGAGTGAACCCAGAGAGGGGTCTCGCAGGAGGCTGGCGTTGGGGATACACAGCGAGCTGGGCAGTGCGGTCAGTGCAAACCTCTGACTGACATTTATTCATTTGCAAGTGCTGTGGTGTGTGACCACCTTCCTTCTCCACAGCCAGGTCTCAAAGAAAGTCCAATGCCCAAAGTCCTCGTTTTGAGCTCTGTCTTCCATTGTCATTTTAGGGGTTGGCTTGTCTTGGTGAAGCAAGAACTCAAGCTGTTTTTACACAGTGCCACCGAGAGAACCCTATTAGCTCTCTTCTTTGGTGAGGGGATGCTCGGGGTACACAAGGTAGACACGGGGGGCGGGGCTGGTGTCAGGCTTTCCCATCCAGCTGAAATCGGTGGTAAGCGTGTGAATGTCCAAGACCCACCATCTGTTGTTCCAGAGCCTACAATTTGGTAATCTTCATTAATTTTCTCAACAACTGAAGCTAGTGTTTAGAGAGGACGAGTTTTCCTGCCCACAGAGCCGCTCGGCCTGGATGTGGGACAGCCAGGACTGGAGCAAAGGTAAGGAGAGAAAATTTCTTCTTTCCTGTCTCTGGGCACCTCTGCCAATGATTGTCTTCGCTTAACCTCAAGGTCAAGGCAACCTATTTTACAGTGTTCATTGTCTCCGAGGATGAGCTTTAGCGAGAGGCTTGTTTGCTTTTTATAGTATTAAAAGAGACAGTGAAACCTGCCTCTCAGAAGATCATTGTACCAAGTCCCTGGGGCTCTGCGGGGAATATTTGTTTCCTCATTTATATTCATGTCTCCAAAAGACAAGCAGACCTTGGATGAAATTTCAGGCGACAATAAATTATAAATAATGTATCCATATTTTTTTCTCTTCCATATACTTGTATTTAATTCCCCCCAGAGTCCTGTGCAAACACCAGCGACAAGAGGACAGGAAGCTATTAACATGATGGAAAGAATGAAACGGGCTTATGTTCTGTGGCATCAACACAGCGGGGAAAACACCTTGATCAAAGGTACTTGAGGTTTTGAGACCAGCTCTTCTCCCTCTTTTCTATTTTTATTATTGTTTTTTTGGGATATCAACTCTTTTCCAAGTCATCTCGGACAGGCCTATTTTGAACTCATCTCTTATCTTGGTCCACCTGGGACAAGGCGAGGAATTGTTCCGTGGATTGGGGCCACTCTCCATCAGAGAAGGCCTAGAAAGCACGCAGAATGGTGAGTGGGATCTGCCCACCTTCAGAACATGATGCATTTAAGAGGGAAACTCCCTACTGACAGTGAAGTCAGACGGCATGCTAACTGCTCAAAAGCAACCAGCCTCTACATCCCTCTGCCCTGGTGGCCTTCACGCAGGCTCCCCCGTTCCCCAGACTTGCTGGGCAGGAGTAGCTCACGCTCTTGGGGTCCAGGCTGGCAGAGTTCCAATCTTGCATGTAAGTGAAGAGACTTTGCTTTTCGGATTTCTTTCTCTTTTTGGTACCATATTCACCCTGCCCTTAGGAAGCAGAGAACCTTGTATTCTCTTCCTCCTTAATAAAACTTGCTCTTGGCAGGGGCAGAAAAGGGGAGCAGAAGGGACTGGCACAGGCAAAGAGCCTTCATTAATATTAACATGCAAGTGACAATGTAGCCTAGGTGGTTATCTATTCAGGGAAATTTGCATTTCGGTGGTAGACAGAGCTCAAAATGAGGACTTTGGGCATTGGACTCTGCAGGCTGCCCCTCTCTACCTGTGCCAACCCTGTGGAGGGTACTAGTCTTTTCCTCGTCCTTTTAGCTCTGTTTCACCAGAGACCCCCTCTTTGGTACTTTGCAGCTAGGATTTAATTTAGTCAACATCTATTAGGTCTGTCACATTGTAGGCTTTATGAAGGTCATTTCTAATGCATTATTTCTGCCCAAGCGTTTTCCATTCTGCAACCAGTTGTTTCAGTGGGTTCTGATAAATTTCCAAGACAAAGCCAGCAAGGTTGGTACTCATCAGCTTCTAACATTTAAATTTAAGCTGTCTAGTAAAACTGCAAAAACTGCCAAACATGGATACTGCTTTCCTAGGTACCGTGGTGGTAGTGCCAAGTTCCCCAACTGTACATGGAGCAAGCAGCTCAGTTAGTGACTACCCTCACTGCACCGGGAAATTGGACTCTTTAGTTTTCTCCTTTCTATGTTGATGTTGATCATGCCCCGGGAGCCCAGTGTCAGCTGAAGTCTTGCAAACACACGTAGACACACCCACATCTACCCACCCACCCACCTATACACTCACATACACACCTAAATATATCTTGTCCACTAAATAAAGTCATCCTTTCTTCACATCTCCCTGTGAGTTGTGAACCCCTGGCTTACCTGATCCTGCTGAGCCCCTAGCTGGATCGGGAACACCACACCCAAACTATTGCACATCCCTTAGTGCATTGTGTCTAAGAGAGGCCAGCGATGGGCACATGAGCTGGTGTACTTCTACAGCCCGGGAGGGGAGGGTCGGCAGTGAGGCAGAGCTGCAAGGACTCCACAGAGGCTCCAGGCATAGAGTCAACTGCTCACCAGAGCTAGCTGTAGCCTCCCAGGACGGGAATGAAAGGCACATCCCACAATGAGCAAATGTTGAAGCCCATGCATTTGGGGAATAAAATGATTAGTTTAACCTCATAAATATGCAAATTGGGAGCTCCGTTCAAGTGTCTGTCATCTGTGTTCTTTTAACGGGAAAGAAATTCTTAATTCAGTGGAAAGCTCCATCCCATGGATCTTTAAGTGGTAGCTTGGGGAAGCAGACCACGGAGGACCTTTAATTAACCTGTGAGTGTGCAGGGAGGGGCTCCAACAAGAAGAGGCAGCACCCTCGTTTCCAGCTAAGACACCTCTGAAACAGCATAATTGATTTTAGTCCCTGAACAGAGATCAAGTGTCATCCAAGTTCCACTTGGTAAAGACTCGTCTTGGATTCATGTCTTGGTTGTATGACCATAGTTTATTTTTATTTTTTAATTAAAATATTTGTTTTTTCTGATTAATGTGCTCACTGAAGACACTTTGTAAAGTATTGAACAGTATGGAAAAGAAGGGCAAAGAGGACTCATTCATGACCTCACTCCCAAAGGACCACGGGTGGAGGTGGCACGTTCCCACAGTGTCCTGCTTGGTCCTTCAGAATGGGTGTATCGAGGGAAATGCATCGGAGAGGAGTTCCTGTCCCCTCTCTGGGGATGGAGGGACAGATTCTCGGACAGGGACAGGGATCCAGCCACACTGGTACTTCAGGAAGGCAGGCAGCCATGCGACTAGGGGTAAAAAGCCCACATTTGCCCCACACGACATCCCCAGATGGGGCAGGGAGAGAATTCAGCCCAGGCTGGGCAGTCCCACGTTGCCAACTAGAGAGGTGTCATAGGAGACCACAGAAAGGACTATTTATCAACAGCCCATGCTACATCGGAGGGCGTGAGGATTAACTGGGATCACACCCGGGATCCAGTAAGACCGGCAGAGATGAGTGCCCAAGGGAGATGTCAGGTGTTTCCTCTTACAGATACAAGTATCTTCTGCTGACAGAAGTGAGGGCAGGCAGGAGGGACAGCGGGATGTAGAAGACCTGGGTCTAGGTTTGGCCCTGCCACTCACTAGCCACGTAGGTCTTTCATTTTCTATGTACCACACTTCATTGTGGGTGAAATGAGGATAGAAAGACCTTCCTTGCCAGTCGTTTTAAGGACTGAGTTGAGTTTTGGATGCAAAACCACTTTTGCTGGTGGAAAGGGGCTGTAGATTGAATATTGAGGATTTACCACTGTTCCTGACACTAGGTATAGACCAGGGAGGAAGGAGAGAAGTAGGAAAAGTTTTCTGGAAAAACATGCAGAAAATTGGAACTCAAAGGAACTTTTATGGGGTGCATTAGTTGGTCCGGGTGGACCAGGGATCTGGGTGTCCTGTGACTACCCTGTAGTGGGGTGCTTCCTAGCAAAGCCTTGGGATGGGAGGAAGAAGGAGGCAGCTGAATCTCTGTGTCAGGCTCCTTCCAGGGCAAGTCTCAACAGAGGCTTCTAAGGAGCCAAAGTCACCCAGGGGAGAAGTGATCCAAGTGGCCATGACTTCCTCACCTGTGGTAAAGGCAGTGGAGGTGATGCTGCTCCTGGTGGCATCCTGGGCCGCCTGCAGGAGCACTGTGTAGTCGGTGTTCTCCGACAGCCCCTCCAGCCGGATCCAGGTGTCCTCTGCGTCCACGATCAGCTCCTACACAAAGCCAGAGGGGGAGGTGGAAGGGAGAGACTGGCTTGCACTGTGGGAAGTGGGGAAGGGAAGTCCAAACTCCTTGGCCAGCTGGGTCAGCACTGTAGTGGCTACTGCTGCCCCCTCCATCCCACAGAAGAAAAAAAATGTGCCAGTAAGCAGAGAACAGCTCTCATGTGAGATTTAGGTCAGCTCCTATCTCAGAAATGCACATTGGGATAAATTTAGGTACCTGGATTATTGAACCCAGTGGCCTGAGATTGCACTGAATTTGCTCAGGAGCAGAAGCCGGTAAGCAAACAGGACCCTAGGCCTCCCTGCTCCCATCAAATAGGCTAGCTCTGCTGCAGTCTATCCTGTATATTTGTCCCCTGCATATGATTTCACTTTTTAAAAGAATCCCACTGAGAACAAGAATTTCAAAACCAGTGCTCTAGTGGATGATTTTGACTGATGACCTAAGACAAAGATTCGTCATTTTTTTACGATGGGTTTTGTCGATGTTGCCTTTCTAATGCTTACAAGACATAAAAGCCTGTTGAACCTGGGATCCAGCCCCCGTTTGCTTGCCCCTGAAGCCAACAGTTATTCCAACGCCAAGTAGTTGGAAGTTTCCAAAGTTTGGGTCCCCATACAGGAAGCTCAACCAGACCTGGTGAAGTGGCAGAGTGGCTTCCCTGGAGAAGACTGGGAGGCTGGGAGAGGGCTGGGGTGTTGCCCAGCTTGTGTGGTGAGCAGCAGCCGAGCCAGGACCACACCCGGGCCACCTGGCTGAGCACTCTCGCAGCAGGCTTTGTCCCTAGCACGGGAAACCTGGCAGCTTCCTGTTAATTGCTTCCTGCCCTCCCTCTCACTTCACTGGCCAGTTTCCATGCTGAGGAGAAGCAAATTCTTACCTTGCGGCTTCCATCCGTGGATCTGTACGTGAGGACATAATTCTCGATCTCCGCCCTGGGGGGCTGCCAGGAGATGAGTGCGCTCTGTCGGGTGACTTCGCCGGCAGTCAGGTTTGCGGGAGGGTCCAGCACTGCAAAGAAGGGAAATGCCAGGGGATGCCTGTCTCTCCAGCTCCTCCCTGCTTGAGTTCAGGCACGAAATCTCCTTGCCCACCTCTGTGGGCTGCTCCCATGCCGCCCTCGGCTCTGGCATGGACAGGAGCATAAAGGGTGCTTCTGGGTCAGAAGATAATCCTTTAGTGCTGTGATCTCTCTTGCAGCTACTCCCTGTTCTGCTCACGGAGGCCTCTGGGCCTGGGAGTGACATCTTCCCATCTGAACCTCTAAGCCTGTGACCATGATCCTTTCCAACTAATGTTGAGTTTATGTTAGAACTTACAATATTCTCACCTTTTACCTTGGTCTACTGTTCTACCTTCTTAGTAGCTGTCTCCCCCATAGGTAGGTCCTGGGGATTGAACCCAGGGAGGGCCTCACACATGTTAGACAAGCACTCAACCACTGAGCTATATCCCAGCTCTTTTAAATTTTATTTTGAAGCAGGATTTCATTAAGTTGCTGAGGTTGGCCTCAAACTTGTGATCCTCCTGCCTCCTCCTTCCAGTAGCTGGGTCATAGCAGTGTATGTTTTTAATATCTGTTGGACTGCTCTGGGTTAGATGCATTTCCAGTGTCTACTTCTCTTGGCCTAGTTTTACTGCTATTACACAGACCCAGGATGGGAGCAGGAAACTAGACGTGTGTGTTGACCAAGAGATGTGGCACACTTTCATTGGATTCGGACCACACTGTCAGCCAAAATAACAGCTCAGAGGTGCACTGCCCAAAGCCTATAGACTGAGACTGAGCCCACCATCAGGAAATGGGTCACTTCTAGGATCTAGAGTCCAGGTGTGGAGATGACCATGTACTCACGGGTAGAAAAGTTGGTGCTGATGGTGCTGCTGGTGAGAGGTCCACTGGTGGCATACATGGTGACGGTGTAGTGGGTGCTCGGAAGCAGGTCGATGAGCTGGAATTCCTCACTGACTCCATCCACCAAGATGGTCTCTCCAGCAACTGAAATCGGAAGAATGTGGCTGAGGACCGAGTAGGACTACTCCATTTATGAAAGACCTACCAAATCTAAATGCTTCACAAGAATTCAGTACCACAGAATTCTGGGAAAACTCCTTTATAAGTTATCAAGCTTGGTATCCTGGTCTTAAAAAGGATCTGCTCTCACATCCTATTACATCCTGAGAAAAATATTCCTTTATAGTTCATGATTTCAAGATGGCAGCCAGCGCTTCCAATAGGAACTCTCCCACATCCAAAGGAAGGAAGAAGGGTGGGATTTTCCAAGCAAACAACAAACAAAAACCCAACACAAACAAACAAACAAACAAGAAACCTTATATGGAGGGCAAATTCTGTCTGTCTTCTGCCTAGTTCTCTGGAAACACAAAGAATAATGAATCCTTGGTCTGTGTGACATTTTCACAATCAAGTGCTGTCTCCTTCAGATTAACAAAACTCAGCCTCTACCTCCCATCACATTCATGTGACAGTGCTAAAATCTTAACAGTCCTCAATGCTTTTCTCTGAACAAGTCAAAGTTTAGCAGTGTCCCTGCTGAATGCAAAGCTTAGAAGAGAATTGAGAATGATTAAAATTCACTGACCAAACAGGGCCAGTCTCTGTCTCCATTTCTGCTATTCATATTAATTTAGGGGTTTTAGGACAGCCACGTGCTATCATCCCATGCTGAGCCTATTGCCAATGAAAGGCCTTGTGTATCACCACCCCACCCGCCCTGGCCTACTTGCTCTTTGGGCCCAGGGACCGAGTTTTGCATTTACTGTTGCTGTTTGAGTTTTGGACCACCTTTATGTTGATTAAAATATATTTGAATTTGGATTCGATCAATCACAGTTTTGTTTTATACACAAATTTAATCAGCTTGTCCTCTCTGAGTTCATTCAAGCTGTTGATAAAACTGTTCATTAGATCTGGGCCAAGCCCTCCATTAGGCAATTAGAATATTATCAAATCATTCAGCATTTAACCAAGTTTATTAGGTACATCTCCCAACTAGGTAGGGCCGGATGTTTTAAGTTTATTGTGGTCTAAAGACACAGAAAGGCACACAGACAAGTTTAAAAAATTGGAAGAGATACATAATGACTATCTTTTTAATATCTCCCCCTCAACATCCCACCCCCAACCACTGTTCCAATCACACCAGACGCTGGTGCTTCCTCAGACTCCTTCACCTCTCCCACACCTCTGCAAACGCAGACAGGCTGCTCTTTTTCTTGCAATTCCTTTCTTCTTCTCTTCACCTTCTTTTGCTTTCTGTGAGGCCTTCCTCCTCTCTTCCCTTTAGTGCCCATCAGATGGGACCTGCCACGTTCCGTGCTTGCCGCTACCATCCCGCTGCTCACGGGAGGCCGTGACTTTCCATCACTCGACGCGAGTTCCGTGAAAACAAGAACTCATGCCATGGTCCTGAATCTTTCCAGCCGAGAGGAGCATGTGGCCCAGGAGGGTGCATCAGAAGCATTTGTTGAATGAATAGAAATGAATGGCTCTGATGGAGATGCGTGCTTTGTGCTTATGGACAGGTGTATTTGACTGCCTGTGGCAACCAAAAAGTCTTTGACCGAACAGTGTTGAAACGAAGACTTGAAGGATGGGTTTTCTAGGCAGAACTGTGGAGAGAGGATTTCTTGGAAGGAAAAGAAACAGAGCATGGGGGCTCTAGAAAGCATGACAAGAGTTAGGAAATGCCAGATCAGGACACGGAGGGCCTGCGGGTGTCCAGATGGACACAGAGGGGTCGGCTAGGACTCAGCCACAGCAGCAAAATCCATTCTTGGGCCGGGTCCTTTCACTCCAAATATGATGCATCGTGCATTTTTCCATTTTAATGAAGAACTGAGTGATAGGCAGAGCCGTCCAGTGCCTTGCTGAAACCCAAATGTGCTGGTGGACTTGCCAGTAAAAAGCAAAGGTGTAAAATGCCTTTGACAAAACTCATTCTTGGTGAAACTGTGTTGGTATGCAGTAATCACGAATTCCCTTCCCATTCTGTTTAAGAGTCTGTTTTAGTTTTTACTTTTCCAAACTTGACAATAAGTTTAGTTCTTTACAGTTTACAGAACTGGCGTTCTCTGCCATTTTTGAAAATCAAGGCATCTGCCTGCCTTCTGTTTTCTGGTATCTTTGTTCACTAGATTCCTGAATATAACCCATAACAATTCTGAGATCACATGTTTAATTCAGGCAGGGAAACGATTTTCCCAAGGCAGGAGACTTGAAGTACACAATTTTGCTTTGGGTTTCTCTATTCAATGTCAAAAAATTTAAGATGAACAAGCATGATGAAGGGGACATTTAAATTTAAGGTTTCACGTTGGTTCAAACTTGTGAGGTGGACATGGGGCGAGAAGACCACACCAGCAGGAAAGCAGGAAAGCTTAGCAGTTCTGAATCTTCTGTCACCTGTTATCACTTATTATCTGCTCCAGGCTTGGTCGTATAATTTCAGTGTTTTTCTTGCTCTGTAAATATCTAGAAAAGTCTGTTTTCTTGTCTCTAGAGCTTTGGGGCAAATTTATCTCAGTTCTGAGCTGTTTTCCCAGTGTTCTTTCTCGGTTTGTACAATTGCCCTGCCTGCACCTTTCAGATTGAGCTTTCGCAAGTCCTACAGTTGGCAGTTGGCGGAGTTTGGGGGCTAACCTGAGGTCTTTATGGTATAACTGAAGCGGTACATTTTCCAACTTGCCCCTCAGACTCACCAAATGCTTTGCTTCCTCCCTTCCATCCTGGTCTTCAGCCCTGACCCTGACCACCCCTGCCTGAGGCCTAAGCCCGTAGACCCTTACCTGAGAAGTGTGTGAGGACAATGACATAGTTCTCCACGTCACCGGCTGGAGCCTTCCACTGCAGCAGGGCTTCCGTGGGGGTGATGTTGGTAGCGATCAGATCCACAGGGTTATCCATGGCTGGAACGGAACAGGAGCGGTCAGTACAGGTAAGAAAGCTGTAGGATGAAGTTCAACCCAGCCCAGAAGTTCCGCCTGCCCCCGACGCAGTCTGCTGCTGTGCTGAGCCAGGGTGAAGTGAGCAGAGCCCTCTTTCCCTTCTCCCTTCTGGCTCCAACAGCTCCTTCTCGTCTCCTTTCCCCCTAGCTCTCAAGTACGCAGTCCCGTGTGCAGCCCCCACCTCCATTGCCCTGAGCTCTCCTTTCTAATTCATCCATTAATTTCTTAAGTGCAGAGCAACGTGGCAGGTGCCTTGGGGCATTTCAATGTATCCTTGTTGCGTTTTAGACATTTAAGTCTAGATGCAGAAACTCAGAACCTACAGAAATTGCTATAATTCTCTAATTAATGAGGTAATCATTCTTCCAAGTCTCATTGACATTAGGGTGTGCCTTGTGGGCAGATCTCCGATGCACTTCAGGAAGTGTAGTGCAAGTGCAGGGGTGTCTCCAGCTCTGAGAACTCCAAAGGTCCTCAGGGAGTGCTTGCGGATGACTGCATGGGATGCGGGAGCCTCCAGAGTCGTATCTGATTACAGAATTCCTGCTCACTGCTCCCAAGGCTCACTCTGGACTGATCCAGGGCAGGCTTTTGTGGCACCGAGAGCCAAGGGGATCCTTGCAGCCTTCGGGAGGCCAAGTGCCTGTGGGGGCACAGAGATGTCACCTGACCGCCTGTCTATTCTTACTGGCTCAGGCTTTATAAGCCTTTGCCTTATTACTTTGCTTCCCTTCCATCAAGTTGGATAAAATTGGGATTTATTTTAGAAATGGATGTTATTCAAACAGTTAAGGTATTGGCTCAGCCTAAAGGTCATACAATTTATTTGGGGAGCCAAGATCCGCTCCTCATCTACCTCTGCTTTCTAATTGAATAATGTTTGTTTCTTTTTTTTTTTTTTTGCTTCCTTATGTCCCTCATCACAGAGCAACAACCAGAAAAATTTTTTATGATTTAAAAATTTGAATTTTATCTATACTTGGTGGTTTCCAAGAGTTTTTCCAATGCAGCCCTTATTAGACCTCAGTTGGCTTGATTTCTGAGATGTGTATGACACCATGATACAAGTACCACGCCCTGCAGGAGTGTTTACTTCTAGAAGACGTAAGCTCATAGACCTCAAGTTAAAACAGCAACAACAAACAACCATGAACCAGGACACTTCTGAGCACAGTCAAGTACCTGGCGGTTGCCAAAATAACTCTGCCTGACCTTGAAGGAGGGTGGCTTGGCCAGGTGTACCACTGCGTACCTGCTTTAGAAATACTTAAAGCTTATGGCTAAGAATTTAAGAAGATTTTTGACCCAAGCTCCTGCTCTCTTTTACCTTGAGGGTAGGATGTTCTTGAAATCCATTGTTTTCAATGAGAAAAAGTTGGATTTTTGTAACATAATTTTCAGGAAGGTGGGAAGGGGGCTTCTTTTGACTCATTGGATATTATTTCTGGTCAACATTTATTGACCAGATACTTCAATGGTTCAGGGTAAGATGGAAGTAAAAAATATGGCTAGGTTTTCTATAGTCATAGACCTGCAAGGAAACTAAGAAAGAGTAGACTATTCTGTGCTATCTTGTGATGGTGAACAATTTTTCATATTTGTGAAATCGTGTGTGTGTATGTGTGTGTGTGTGTGTGTGTGTGTGTGTGTGTGTGTGAAGTGTAACTATTGCCAAAAAAAGAGATGCTGTTTCTGAGCTTGAAAAAGCAGTGAGGAATTCCAAGGCACATTTGCCTCATTCAGGAAATACCGTTCTCAAGGGGAATGAAGCACCCTCGGGAAACCCAGGTGTTCCGTAACGAGGCCATCTGCACGTTTCCCTCTGTGCTCTGGCTTACTAGGTGGTCTGGAAGAAAACGTGGGCTGTGCCTTCTAGTGACTTCCATAGCTAACCTTTGCTGATTCTGCATAGTCCACGGTCAGAGGGGCCAGAGAGGAAGGGGCAGAGGAGCTGCCTGAGGGGCCTTGCCTTCAGGCTCCTCCAGCGGGCTCATTTTGGGAGGAAGACATGGGATGGGGACTTCCCTTGGCCACTTTCCCGTGTGGCAAGCTGGTGGCTCCCTTCTGCCTCCCATCCTGGAGCTCACTACACAGGAGCTGACTGGGGGCAGGAGGCACCTGGGTCTAATGGGAAGACTTGATGGAGAACTCGGGCTAGAGTGCCCCTGCAGGTGGCCCAGGATGCCACGTGGAGCTGCGTCACCTCCACTGCCTTCATCACGGGTGAGGGACTCATGGCCGCTGGTGCCAGCTCCTCTCAGGAGCAAAAGGCCAGAGCAAAGGCAGCCACTTGGTGTCTTCTGGCCATCCATGATGAAGAACCTCATGACCCCCGCTTCCCGTCACTGGAGTGACAACTGTTTTCCTCTCTCAGGTGAGAGTTCCTTCCCTGGGTCTTTTTTAAAGAAAGACGGGATAATTGACTTGTCTGTTCTGGATTCACCTGCATCCTGTGTCCGTGAGCAGCCATTATTCATATTGGAAGTTCCACGAGAGTTCCCCATCTCAACCAATAAGACACCAACAGGGAGGCTCTAAATTCCATTCTAGACAAGGCCATCCGTGGGGAGAGAAGTCACAAACTGTCCCTCCTGGCACAGGGAGGAGGCCTGAGCATGGCATCTCAGAGCCCAGAACTAAGGTTCTTGGTGTGAGCTCACACGACTTTGCTCTTGGGCTCTTGAGTCCTGGCGGGTCCACTGCCATCAGGGGGACGTGCCTACCTGTGTGCACCAGAGTGCAGATGCGCTCGCTCTCCTCCCTGCCCCGCACGCTGTTGAGGCTGATTTCATATTCAGTGGCTGGGTGCAGCCTGGAGATGGTGAATTCTGTCACTGTGTTGGGCACCACTGAGCTGTCCAGCCGTCCTACTAAGGAAGAGCAGAATCCACCATTAAAACCTTGCTGCTTCCTCATCAATGTGACCAGGGGTGCGGTCTACATGGGGCACTGGTCATGAAGCACAGATGGATTTGGGACCCGGCACTGGATGTGAGGAGGGGGAAATGAGTGGTTTATGGGCTGGAAATGTTGAAGCTCAAAGAGAACTTGCATGCTTGTCCCACCCCTTCATTTGATGGGCTTCTTGGAACAAGGAGAAATGAGCAATTTATTGGGTGGTTTTCTAACAGCCCAGTTTTCTTTGAGGCAATTACATTGAATCAGTTTAGAGTGCGTAGCTGTAAAGAGTCTGTGCAGCCCAGAGACAGGCTAGCCTGGAAAGCTGTCCTGCCCCCCACAGGAAGTGGGCACACCCCCACCTCATCACCAGTGCCTTGTGCACCAACAAGGAATGCCAGGGTGCAGGCCAGGCTGGGCCAACTTCCCCTGACTCAAAACGTGGCTGGAGCAGCAGGGCGAGGACCACATCCCAGCTGCTCTGGCTTTGCTGGGTCTTCAGCTACTCTTGAGATTTGGGCTTTACCCTCTCTGGAAAGTGCATGGTCCTGGCTCTCGGCAGATTCTGTTAGGAGCTCTTTTATCTCATTGCAGAATCTAGATACTGGTGACCAGCTTCCTCTGCTGGTGAAGGGCCCGATGTCTGGGTGAATGTACTCACTCCTATTTTGAGAGGAGTTGGTAAGCACAGGGGTTTCTGGGCTGCTCCTCATGGACACATTCTCATTTTGAGGGAGCATGCCACAGGAGCGGGAAGAACACAGGCAGGGCTTCACGTCCATCAGGATACAATACTTTCCCCATAATAATTTCCATCCAGCTCCAACCCCATTAATCTTTGAGAAATCAAATTACTTGAATACCTTGGGTGGGTCGATATGACACTCGGTAGTAATCAAAAGATGCAACAGGAGGGCTCCAGGACACCATCACTGAGTCCTTGGTCACGTTGCTAATCGTGATGTCTTTGGGAGGGTCAATTCCTACAAAGTCCCAGGTGATGGTGGGAAAAAGACAAGACAACATGACGTGACAAAGGAATTTCTGTTCCTAGTTTTATGTTGACCAAGAGCTGATGTGCCCCAGAGGCAGACAAAACACTGGGATATAACGGGGCAGCCTGGATACCATGGTCAGGCTAATGTTTCACCTGAAACCCATAAGATGTGGTCAAAGTGGTGCTCATGGAGAAGGTTTTAACAACAGCAAGCCAAGGTGGCAAGGTCCGCACCTGTGCAGCAAATACGATTCATCTAAAGGCCAACTAGAACTTTCTTTTAAGTCCACATCATTTGTTTTGAATTCAGAATAACACAGTTATTTTCTCAGGGGTAAACTTCTCTTGGAAAAAACCCAACTTGCTCTTATCTGTTATTTTTTAGCAGCCACCTTAGGTTCTATTTGGAAAAACTTCCTATTGACTATAAAGTGATTTTGGAGCACAAGTCCAGAACAAATCCACTTTCCTAAATTGTGTTTCATTTATGCTGGGTACTTTTATTTTTTTGACTGCTAAGAAATTGCAAGGTCAAATCAGCTGAGTGTTTAACCCACTCGTCCAGTTTGTGAGTTCTTGTCAGTAATGTAGGAAACTACCAGAACACACAACTTCTTACCCACGCACACCTCATATTTGGAATTGCATTTGGGAATGATGAGGTGGACTTGTGTCCAGAGGGTCTCAGTGTGCCTGTGTTCCCAAACAATGTGTGAGTCCACCTGAGTGTCAGGTCAGCCCTGCATGATTGCATGGCCCTTCTGTGTGATTCTGAGGAAGCATCATCTGCACCAGTGGCCTTGTTGGGAAGTTGAGAGGTGGCTCTCCCGACCAGGAACAGGTGTCTCTTCACTGTGGAGGTTCCCTGGGGGAGACTAGCTTTCTCCAGGGCTTTCTACTGGAGAGGTAGATCTGTAGACCAGTGCATTCAAGCCTTGACCTCCTCAGGACATTGTGTCTATCATACCTTCCAAACAGGAGCTTCCCATCTTATCATCTAACGCAACCCTGGAAGAAGTAACAGTTCCAGGATGGCTCACCGACCCTCTTTAGCTGTAGAGGCCCACCCTGCCGCCTTTTGAAATTTTATTGAATTTCACCCACGGCTCCCCAGTCTTTCAGCCTCACCTGTGGTGATGGAGCCCACGATGGGCTCTGAGGTCACTGTGCCATGAACAGCCACCAGGTTCACGATATACTCGGTGGCTGGCTGCAGACCCTTCAGGACGGCGTGTCTCTTGGTGGCATCCAAGGAGACCTCCATCATCTCCTCCTCTTCATCCCGGGGGCTGTAGTTCAAAATGAGTCTGTCTGCTGGGGGGGACGGGTCACTCCAGGTGATGTTGACACTGGAGGAGGTCACATGAGAAAAGTGCAAGTGGGAGATGGGGCGGAAGCCTGCAAAACACAGAAGGCGGATGGTTCTGAAACACACATGAGGTGGAGACCGTGGGGTCAGAAGAGCCACTTGACTGCAAGCATCTGCTCCCGTCCTTCCTAAGGGCTCCACTTCCCCACACTCCAGTGCTGTCCACCCTTCCTTTCCCAAACTGAACACTGAAGAGTTAGTTCTGATAAGAACCAGAAAACTCTTTGGTACTGGTCCAGGACTTGAACTCCATCCTGGAAGGGACTTAATGTGATCCATGGGTCCTCAGAGTGCCCACTGACTGAGTGTGGTCAGGGAAAGATGGAGAGGATCAGCGCCTTTGTCCAGCCTCATAGGAAACAGACACCAATTTCCAGGCATGTGGCATCCCTGCCTCCCCCCCTTTACTCCTAACCATCCTCTCGACATACTTGTTGATTTTTCCTCCATGTCTTCTTTTTCAACCCGTCTCTCTTTCTCTAAAGGCAACGGGGCTTTGGAAGGGTGGACAGCTTAGAGGACCTTCTTGCCACTAAGATTCATGGATCCCTGAACCTGGCTGGGACTTCTGCTGCCCCGGTACCTGTGAAGGCGTCCACAGTGGACTCCAGGCTCTGCTGCCGACCCCTCTCCGCGGTGATGGAGATGATGTACTCTGCCCCAGGCTCCAGATCTGTCAGTGTATACGAGGTTCTGTCCTTGGGCACGGTGACTTCTGAGGCAATCCCAGAGGAGGGGGTAAAGGTAATTCGGTAGTGGTCAATGGGGCCACTGGCCTTGGTCCAGATGAGGGAGATGGAGGTCTCGGAGGAGGCTGTCACCATGAGGTCCCGGGGACTGTCCAGTTCTGTGGATCAACATAAGTGGCTTATTTTATACAGGCTCCTCAGGATGACCAGTCTTCCCTGGACGACCCTGGGTGTTTCCCAGCTATCAGCAGGCCTGCTGACCGTGAGCCTCAGCTTGTCATTGCTGATACTTGTCTCAGTTTTTGTTAAGCAGTTTCTTTTTGAAAGATGGCCAGAGTCTTGGCAAAGAGATAGACAATCTACAGAAAGGCAATATCAGCTCCAACGCCACTGGAATACATCCACCTCTGGGACAAAGCTGGCTGCTGTTTTTTTAAGTTCTTCATATTAATTTTCACTCCGCCTTTCTTAGTAGGCCAACCCTGACGGCCTCTCGGCAGGCCAACAGGAGCCGCTGCCCAGTAGGGGTACCCCATTCCTGGCAGTGGTAGCTTCCCTTGGCTCTCCCATTTGTCCCTGAGTCACTCTGACTTGGCTAACAGGTGGCCAGATCTGAGCACTCCTGGAGAGCCTCATCCTCGGGCTGCGGCAGTGAGGTTGTCTGTGCTACGCTGAACCTCGGGAACAGGGGTGGGTCCCAAATCCCCAGCCCAGTCCTGCCCAGGCTGTTTCGTACCTAAGCTCCTGGAGGAACTCTGAGATTTCTTCAGGATTTAGAAGCAAAACTTCTGGCTCCACAGCAGCAAGGGTCTCTAGTGGATTTTTCTACTACCTTTGAATTTTATAGGTTATTTCCAAGTTTAGACCTCCACGCCAGTGACCTCTTGGAGGGACTATCTTTTTGACGCAGACTACAGCTGCCCTGTTCTGCCTGCTGTGGGTGTTCTCGATAGAAATGGAGCTGCAGTGGCACCTACCTACCTGGGGTTTTCCACCTTGGCTCTGCACTGCTCGGGGCAGCCCTTCAGGCCTGGAGGAGCAAGCACAGGTCCATGATGGGGAGAGTAGGACTCTGTCTTGCATGTCTGATGTTTGAATTGGATATCGAGTAGCTGTTGTCACTAGATTGATAACTGTCACCAGGGCCCTGTTCTCGATGGCTCTACAGGCTTGCAGGGCTGCCTAGCCTCCCGCAGCACCACCCTCCTACTCACCTGTCCTGGCATTCATGGTGGCCGGCACGCTTTGTTGGGAGTTCATGACGGCAGATATTCCGACTCCATACTCGGTGCCAGGTATCAGATCTATCAGCAGAGGCACAAGCAAACATTAGTGTGCGTGTGTTGGGGGTAGGGCGTGGGAAGGTTGGAGCGAAGGAAGATGAGCTCAGGCTCCTGTTCAGATCTTACCTTTCGTCCTCCTTGAGTCTGCTCCTAATTTTACCTAGTAAATCTCATTTTACTGCTCAGGAAATCCGTACCAAGCCAACAGAATGAACCGGCCAGTGCAAAGCTTCCTTCTTGCTGCTGGTCTTGGACAGGCAATGAGGCTGCCCTTGTCTGTGACCTCCAGAGGTGTGGTCACCTCTAGAAGGTCTCCCTCTGTACTTAGAGTCTCACGTTGGCTAGAACTCGTGAAGGGGTTTCTTGCTTAAATCATAAACTGGGGGAGAGTAGGCTCCCCCCAACATCAGCAATGCAGCAATGCAGGCCCAGAGTGCTTAACACTATGGATCCCACTTTAGAGGCCCTTCTGGTAGCTCCTGGAGGTGACGAAATGCCAGAACTGTCTGACCACAGGGAGTGTGCCTCTCAGGGCATCCTTCTGGGCTTTATATTAAGGATGGTGTCCGGGTTCCCAGAATTCTCTGGGGTCTCTTCCTACCCTCTGGCACATTCGTTTTCAGACCAGCTTGTTGGACCGGTGTGTTGGTGTTTTACTAATTACCACAACTTCACCCATTTATGATCTCCTGGTCCAGGAGAGCTGAAGACCCACAGGGTGCAGCAGGGCTGCGGTCCTCCTGGGGGCTCGTGGGAGGAGCCACTTGTCTGCCTATCTCAGTTTCAAGAGGCTGCCTGCACTCCTTGGCTCACGGCCCCCTGATCCTTCATCAAGCCCAGCAGCTTAGCATTATTGGCTCTCTCTCTCTCTCTCTCTCTCTCTCTCTCTCTCTCTCT